ATAATGGTTATTAATGTTCAACACCACACATTTCAAATATTTAGTTGCCTGTCCTTTTACTCTTAACTTTTTACTATCTAACACAAGTTTTTTGTATTCGTTTTTTATTACAATTTGTCATGCCAATATGACAAATATTCTCTGGATTAGCTTCTCAAATGTCGGAAGTTGCTGCATTTCTTTGACTTATATGACTTGAAATTAATATATTATGGTTTGGGATTCTCGACAAGACAAAACGAGCTAATTGGAGACATCTCAATGCGCTGGGAAGAATAAAAAAATATAATTTCTAAAATGTTATAAGCTGAACAAATTCAACAAAAATAAATATATTTATAATTTTGATAACTGATAAAAAGTTAAAAATAGCAGTTTCCCTTTCCTTTGTGACTATAAATACTTCTTTACCGCATATTTGACATAATTTCAGTTTGGTTTCTTCATGCAGTTTCACAGCTGTTTTCAAATATCTTCCCATTACAGCAGTTGCAGCTCCGCGTGTGTTTGTTTAGTGAATGTGACAGGGGACAGGTGGGAGAGGCTGTGTGTGTGTGTGTGTGTGTGTGTGTGTGTGTGTGTGTGTGTGTGTGTGTGTGTGTGTGTGTGTGTGTGTGTGTGTGTGTGTGTGTGTGTGTGTGTGTGTGTGTGTGTGTGTGTTGTGTTGTGTGTGTGTGTGTGTGTGTGTGTGTGTGTGTGTGTGTGTGTGTGTGTGTGTGTGTCACTGCGAGGCGCGAGCTGGACGAGACCATGTGCCTGACCTTTGACATCCACACGCCAAACAGCGGCACACCCCCCCCTGTCCCTCAAACACACACACAGAGTAACCCACGCGCCGTCTGTCACCGGCCCCTGACAGGCGTGACCAAGGCGGGGTGGGTGGGCAAAAAAAGAGGGGAGAAAGGGGGTGAGTTTAGGACCCCTCCAGCCATCCTATTCCCCCCCTCCACCCATTCCCCCTTTTCTAATTCCCTGACAGTGACCCTGCACCCCCCTCTTTTTTTCCCCTCTAACACACCAAACACACACACAGGCTGGCCATGTCAACCTCTGAAGACAGATACATCATCTGCCCTCTCCCCCTCTCCCCTTCCTCTCTCTATGCTATTAGTACTGATAGGATGAGCATGAACGGGGGGGGGGGGGGGCTGCATCCGAGCGGCTGCTGTCAAACGGCCCCGGGGTGGAGAAGTGTGTCAGGACGGTGGTCACTGTACCTCAGAGGGACATTTTTCACTAAAATCTAAATATAGAACATTTTCAAAATAAAAGACTTGTACATTTGTAGATTTAGTAGAGAAAAGTCTTTTTTTCTTTTGTTTAGTCCTGATGAAAGAAAAATATGACTTCATGCGTACTGGACATCTGGGACATTTGGGGGTTCAGTGTGTTTGATTTGTTAGCATATATGAGGTGGTGGGGGTTGAAAGGCCCCATGGCCAGAGGGGTTAGGGCAGTTGAGGCGTTATGGGCAGGGAGAGATGGAGGGGGGGGTGTTAAAATAATTTTATGGGATCCCTCTCTTCATATGCTGAAAGGATAAAGGAGCAGGGAATAATAATGTGTGCGTGCGTGCGTGCGTGCGTGTGTGTGTGTGTGTGTGTGTGTGTGTGTGTGTGTGTGTGTGTGTGCACATGTGTGTGTGTTGAAATGAAATGGATGCAACATTTTAGTAAATTGTATTTCTTAAGTCTGAATTTTGTTGATATTTAAAACGCCTTTAAAGGCATTGGGTTCATTAATATAAAAATATGGCCTGAATTGGTAGTAAATTGTCTTAAATCAATCATTCAAAAGTCTTAAAGATGCTAAGATGTGGGAGGAAGGACTTTATTTATAGTTATTTTATTATATATCTCTAAATAAATAAAAACTAGTTGTTTTTTTAAATAATTGACTGAATGTAGTTGCATTAAGCAAATCACAATAGCAGAGATAACAGAAGTCATATCTTGTTTTCTCTCAGAGTCTGCTAGCTAGTGAAGACATAAGATTTTTTATGATGCAATCGTCATTTTAGCAACATTTTCCCTAAACCAAAAATTATTGATGTTCTTTGGTTCATCTCGATTATTTCAAAGTCTTAGACCTACATTTCATTCTGAGTGGCATTGAAAACTACTTCAAAGTCTTAAGTCCGATTTGCCTGAATATGTATAAACCCAGCTGGGCTTGTACTGGTGATAGTAGTAATAATTCTAACAGGTGTAATTGTAGTAGTAGATGTATCAGCAATATATCAGTACCTGTAAAAGAAGCTCGAAGTAGAAGCAGCAGTAATAGATAGATCTTGTGTAGCAGTGCATCAATATTAGAAGTATTTTAACTAAACAATACAACAGACACTGGTTCATAAGAACTCTAAATCCAGTACCTCTGTCTGTGTAAAATACAGCTTATAGAGGAAAGTGAGTAACTGTATACGTTTAATACATTGCCTTGTATTTTCGTGGTGATTTGTTGCTAGTATGTATAACTTTAAAAAAAAAAAAAGGATGTAGCTGAAGGTAACAGAAAACCAATGAGTATCGAATAATGCAACTTTAAATGCATTTAATTTAGGTCAACTTAAAGTCTCTATTATTTGTCTCAGTACCTGTGACTGCAGCATATTACTCCCTCAAAGTGTGTTATTATGAATGACAGGTTACTTAAAGGATTCAAAAGACCGATTACTATGTAAGGTTCTCCCGGGTTCTCCGTACAACACATTCAGCATTTCGAGGAGGGTGCTGCCCCCATGTGGTGGTTTTGTGTAACTGCAACACTCCACTAACAGAGCTCAGTCAGTGCTGGGTTTCCTTTTCTTTACAATAATGCAGGGGGTTTCAATTATATACATTTGACATGTAAAAGTTTTACAAATGTTTACATTATGTTCTTTGATGGAGGCTTTTGACAAATAACACAAAACACTGACCAACAAACAATCTTATATCGTTTTATATACCAAATGTTTGCGAAATGACCACCTATGTTGAGATTTTTGCGCATGGATATAAAGAAAATATAAAGTTTGCATCTCTTTTCAGTGCACAAATATTTTTAGGAAATATTTATATTTCTCTTGTCTTTTTTACCTTTATTTCCACCTTATTTATATTTAATATTTCCCTTTTTTTCTTTGGATTTTAAATGCAACCATACATGGCTCCATCTCTTTGTCTTTCTTTCTCCTACACCTTTATCCCCCTCCATCCCTCCTTCCACTTCCTTGCATCACACCTTGAACTTGCCTGTGACCCTGATGATAAGATTACCACACACACACACACACACACACACACACACACACACACACACACACACACACACACACACACACACACACACACGCACTCACACCAGGCTTATATATCATTTGCAATAAGCCCTTTAATTTTTTTTTTTCAAGTGTTCATTCTTTCCGTGTGTGTGTGTCCTCTATATGGCTGTAATTATAGTGAGGAAGAACAGAGGAAGGATGGAGGATCTGAGCCGTGGTTTATCATAATAATAATAATAATAATAATACATTTTATTTTTATAGTGCTTTTCTAAACCCAAAGACGCTTTATCATGTGTACTTTGATTATTTTCACACATCTTGTCAAAAACGGAGAACCTGCCATCAGAACACATACACTAATTCACACAGAGCTCATATTTTGAGCTCTTTGTTATCGCGTGTTTTATCAAGATGACTGTATTTTGGTTGAACTGGCCGTTCCTCGCAAAAGATTAAAGCTGAAGCCGTAAAATGAGCTACAGAAATGAAGAGCATACTAGTCCTAAAGGACAGTTTTATCCAAGATGGCGGCGGCAGTAGTGCTGAGTAATGTCTGGTGCTCAGGTAAGCAGTTCCTCTGGTGCGTTCTTCCTCCACCAATTACTGCTACATCCCAGAAGTCTCCACTAACACAAGGAACAGCGTGGTAGTTAGCATGATGTCTGCCAAAGAAAAGCTGATTCTTAATCCCATGCTCACATCCCGGGTCAATAAAGTTTACATTTAAAGATCTACATTATGGGAAGGTACCATCACTTTTCTCTTAGCTACTTCCAGGTCGCATTTAATGAGTAAAAAAGAGAGTTCAAAAAATATTCCGTACCTTCGCAACTTGTATTTTTAGAAACTTAAAAAATATATATTTTGGCTTTATCTTAAAAGTGATGAATTTCTGATTTGATTTAGCCAATCTAAAAGGGTTTCATCGCCAGTACTGGAGTCAAATGTATCACAGGTCAAAAGTGAAATAATTTCCACTTCTTGTTGTGAATAATACAGTGACAGTGAATCAGCCCTCTTTTAAACAATAATTAGTTCTTAGAATTATTTGTTGCTTTTATACCAGAATTGTCTCCCTGTTCCTTTGACTTCCTGACAGCGTTAATCTCAGTTTGAATTGAAGTGAATGAGGCGTACTGTAGGACTGACCTCTCGTTCAGAGAGCAGAGGCTGTTTTATTCCTTTGTTTGTGAATCTGAATGGCGAAAGAGAGAAGAAGCAGCAGGTGAGTGCAAGGACAGGGTTAACACACAAAGAACATGTGAACAGGGATCTCTTATTCTGCAGAGAAGATGTGTAAAGTGTGTGTTTTTCTACACTGGATGTTTATTGATTTTCTTTTTACACCTATTTATACATTTGGCCAAAATGTTAAAACTCAAACATCAGTAGATTTTTAGGCTGAAACTAGAAAAATCCCACCATTTAAATGTGTATAAACAACAAACAGTGTATCCACAAATGCCTTGGAATATTTATATGCAAATTATGATTTGCATATAAAGGGAAAAAAAAAAGGGTGTGTGTCTTTCTGTCTTCGCTTGCAGTTTGTGACATACAGTATGGTGATCAAATGTTGCAGACATGTCGCAGATAATATTATTTTCTCCCCCGTCGGCCAAGAATTTGAAGCAACAAGGTTTGCTTTTCTTACCACGTACTGTAGCTTCGCCTTATGTACCTCTCTGTATTCACAGTGACCCTAACTGATGTGTGTGTGTGTTTCTTACAGATATCAGGATGTCTAAAGCAGCAGAGGAGGAGAAGCCTGGGGCTGAGTATCCAGGGGACAGTTCAGGTAACACACACCAAACCATATACATGATCCATGACATGAGTAACAGTGACACTTTACTTACACATATGCAATCATGAGACAAATGTGAAATCATTTGTGTCGAAAAGCAGTTTCCTTTCATGTTTTCTAGTTAATATTACACCCTTATACAACATACTGAACATACACACAAACACACACACACACACACACACACGCACACACACACACACACACACACACACACACACACACACACACACACACACACACACACACACACACTGACTAATAAGCGCCTCTTCTGTGTTTCAGACTCTGACAGGAACAGCCCTGATGACCAGGTTGGTTTTAATTTTATTCTTATCCTTAAATATTAGAAGAAATATTACTTTTAATTTAAAAAAAAGTATGTATAGTCATTAAAAGAGTCATTAGGAGAAAAAACTGTGGCATTGTGTAAAATGTGTTTTTTGTCTCTAAATCAGATGAAGTCTATCACATTGACTATTTAACACATTCAATTGCAATTCTTAGATGCCTAGTTTCAGGATAAATGAAATAAAAATAAAAAATCTTAAGAAATCTACCAAATTATTGATTATTTGGACTGTAAGTATCACAATAAAGTGAATTTATAGATAAATGAATTCATCACAGCAACAATATCTGTATCAAATGATCACAATCCCATTATATTTGCTTATCTGTTCATTATAAATACACTCTGTTCTCAAATCATACATGATTTAACAATAACATTGAAATTAACCAAGTAATGAGCAATAACTCTTAAGCTTACTTTCTGACATTGAGCTTATTACCGTTTTTGTTGTTTTTTTAAAACAAGATTGACTCACAGAATGATTGGGAACTCCTTCCATGTGGCTCAACAGTTTGTTTTTTTAAGTTTCATAGAAAGATCTACTTTGAAATGTGCATGGTTTCATTTGTATTATGTGTTGCTGCAGGTTCAGCCGATGAAAACAAGCCCCTGCAGCATCTCCCCCACACCGGCTGGCAGCAAGGTGAGCCACATCCGACATGCAGTGTGTGTGTGTGTGTGTGTGTGTGTGTGTGTGTGTGTGTGTGTGTGTGTTGTGTGTGTGTGTGTGTGTGTGTGTGTGTGTGTGTGTGTGTGTGTGTGTGTGTGTGTGTGTGTGTGTGTGTGTGTGTGTGTGTGTGAGTGTGTGTGTGTGTGTTCATGCATATGTGTGCAAAAATTGCTATCTGCAGCTTCAAAGCCACAATCCTTATTAATCAATCCTTTATGTTTTCATATAGAAACCATAAAATGAGTCATTATTTGAACATCCATTTACCATTTAAAAGAAATGGTCTGAACAAAGTCAATTTAAGATATCAGCTTATGGTTCTTCTCCTTTAATTATTTTAATTGGATTTATTCTTGCTATTATATTTGACTTGATTGATATTTTAGTAAAAACCTAGGTGCGTGTTCCGACAGTTCCTATATTGTAGGATTGTATGTGGACGTGTGGGAGGGGGCGGCATAATTATGGTGTGTTTAACAGCTTTTTAGCGTATAGAGTAGACGGCACTGAATATGCAGAATCATGCAAGGTGTGTCCCCGCCCACCTTCACTGATATTCAGAGAGCCCTGAGAGAAAAGGCAGAAAGAAGGAAGGATGTGAGTGAGGCAGCAGTGAGAGATAGACGTAGAGATGCAGCACAGTGATGGATGGGTATGACAGCAAGAGGTCAAAGGTCAGCAGCTTTTCAAAATGTTTCCTACATCATGAAAACGAGGAGGATTGACTCGAGCTTCTGGACAGCCAACCAGCACACACTTTATTCATGCAACAAGGAGGAAACTCAAGATTAGTAGTCAAACTTAGTAGATAATCATGAGGCGTCTTTGACTTTTTTTTTTGTTCATCTGCACAATCGGGTTTGTCTTTGAATGCTTCTACAATCTGAGGAACCTGTTACCTGGCTTCAAAAGCGTTTGTGAGAGCGGGTCCATAACTGGTTTGTTGCCTAAACTGTACGAGACTTAATTATGCAGCTGCTGAAAAACAAGTTTCTGTTGAATGCTCGTTGATGTTGCATCAACCCCTCTCCGGGTTTCAGACTTCAAATGCATGCATCATACTAAGACATTGAAATGAAGTCAGAAGTGGTGTGTTTGCATATTTACAAATGTACTTAAGTGTGTGCACCTGTCGATTGACTTTTCCTCACAGTTATGTAAAATGCAGACATTTAAGCGACAACATCTTTTAGGATTAGTGCTTCTTGTCTACATGCTCCTCTTATATATGAGATGAATCCTTATAGTCACAGACCCACAGGAGTTCTAAGAGGATTTGTGAATCTTATATGGACTGTAAACATTGGCAAAACTTGGGCATATCAATTTGAATGTTTGACATTTTCTTGCGCATTTAACCCCAGTTTGATTGTGTGAAAATGCAGTATTATTACAGTTTAAATGTGAGGCCGTGTGTTGCTTTGGTAACAATCTGTTGATAAATGCAGTCAAAAAAAGGAAGGATACTCACAGAATCGTGCCTTTTTCATTGACTTTAGGGAAAGAGCGAGGAGAGCTCTGAGATCGTCCGTAGCACCATTCCTGCTCTAACACCTTCCCAACAGCAGCAGCAGCAGCAGCAGCAGCAGCAACAACAACAACAACAACAACAACAACAACAACAACAACAACAACAGCAGCAACAACAACTACAACAACTACAACAACAGCAACAACAGCAACAACAACTACAACAACAACAACAGCAACAGCACCACCACACACAGCTGATGCTGGCTGGTAGTCAGCTAGCAGGGGTAAGTCAACAAAGACCAGTGGTAGAATGTAATAAAAAAGTCTAAATTAAATGTTAAAGTACTTGTACTGAGTATGTTTGATTGATGCCATTTTATACTTCTACTCAACAATATATTGTACTATGACAATATTAGTTATTTGTAAAAACAAATTTAAAACAAAAGTTGCACGCATTGTTCTGTCTTGATGACTAACTGGCCTCCTACCTATGGACCTCCCCTTAAGGATTTGTTTTACTACTACAAAATGTCCACAAAATATTGCATTTGTGGTCATTTCAGTGAGTTTGTATCTCAGCACCTTACCATTGCACTCACCAGAGGCCTGTACTACGAAGCCGGTTCAACCTAACCTGGATATGTTTGAGTTAGCCGGTTGGCCTAATCCAAAGCCCGCTAAAAAGAGAACCAGCGTCGTAGGACCGGAAACCCCAAGTTTTCCCTGAAGTTAGCCCGCTAAGCGAAAATCCGGCTTCGTAGTACAGGCCTCTGGTAAATAAAGCAAACTTAAGGGTTAACAGCTGCAAACATGCTCCTGTGTGAACTTCACTTAAACATTTCTCACTGTTAGTCAGAATAATTAAGTGTAACTACATAATTGCCTGAAGCAGAAGAAGTTACAGTGTTTTCTTTAGGGTGAAATACCTTGAGTTAAGTGGACGGCTTTTCTTGCTTGTCTTGCTCTGGCAGTCTTTAGCGTTTGAAACAGATTCGCCTATACCTTTACTCCTGGAATGCTGGGCTGACATCGCTCTTTGTTCTCTCTTCTGACTTTCTTTTTATGTCTCCACTTTTTCTCTTTCCTATACATTCTCTTGTCCTTTTGCTGTCATTCTTTGACTCTGTCCTTCATCTTTATGTCTCTCGCCTCATTGCCATTGCCACCCTCCTCCTCCTCCTCCTCCTGCTGCCCCCCCCCCGCAGCTTGCCGCTCTCCTCCCGGCCCAGCAGCAGCTTCTCCTCCAGCAGGCTCAGGCTCAGCTCCTGGCCGCCGCCGTGCAGCAGTCCCACGCCGCTCACGCTGCCCACGCCGCCGCGCAGCAACAAGCCAACCAGCACCACCAGCAGAGCTTATCACAATCCCAGCAGCAGCAAATCAAGCAGGAACAAACGGTCCAAGTCCCGCCTCCACAGCAGATGGCTCTGACGCAGCCAATCCAGCTCACTGCCCAGGTACGATCTGCCAACAGTATATTCCCTGATTGAAACACAAGGGTTAAGCATGTTACTGGCAATTCACATCTTCAAATGTGTTGCCATCAAAATACTTTTCATTGTTCTTTAAAGCTAGTTAATTTAGCTTTTTAATAAAACCCCTCTGTGTGCTGTTGCAGGACATCCAGCAGCTGTTGCAGCTCCAGCAGCTGGTTCTGATGCCCGGTCATCATCTCCAGGGTCCCGCTCAGTTCCTCCTGTCTCAGCCCACGCAGGCACAGCAGCAGCAGCATGGTGAGGCCATCTTAAGAAACTCAAAACCATCTCTCAATATGTTTGTCTTTCACCAAATGTTAAGCATATATCGTTATAGAACCATTAACTCTTACCTGATTGCTTTGCCTGTAGTTTGTTTAATAATTAGATGTAATGTTTGATTTGGTTTGTTAATTGGTCGTGCTTGCTTTCACAGCTTTACTCTCGACACCAAATCTGATCCAGCTACCTCAGCAAAGCCAAGGAGGACTACTGACAAGTCCACCTCGCCTGGGACTCCAAGCACAGGTAGGGAACATCTCCCTTTGTTAGAGTGGGAGGGGAGAGATAGACAGAGAAGAAAGATCCAGATCCAAAGTACTGATCATAACTATCCGACAAGTTATTTTAATGCAAATCAAAAGCAAAATCTCTGCAAAACACACTTGATTTTTGTTGTTGTCCTTCAGGAGACATAAGTCATTTTATAATTCCAATAAAAAGGTGATACCTGCTGCAACAATCTGTTTGCTACTGCCAAAGAAAGGTGGCTGCTTTATTCAAAATGTATTCCATGGCAGGTCATTTTCATAATAGACGCAGAATCTTGATATATTCACACGGCTCACCTCGTGTCCTCAGCCTGTATCTTCTTTAACATAATGCATGAATGCATCCTCACATGTCCGAGCGGCCGTTATAGATTTTTTCATTATGCGTTGATGAAGTCATGTCAAACAGAAGGCATGTGTTCCCCTATTGTTCGTGTATGTTATGCACAGAGACGATGAATGTAAATGACACGTGCAGCAGCAGGTTCCATGCATGATGTCTGCTCAATTAGTTGTCGCTCCCAAAGAGCGCAGGGTCACATTCCTGCTTCCATGTGCACTCTTCTTCATCTCAGCCAACCTGAGGTTAAACTCTATCTCCAAATATCACATTCATGGCTTTTTTGACTATTAAGAACATGTAGGCAGGTTTCTTTGTGCATGATTCCTGTCAAATCTGTCAAATGTATCAATGCATCCAGGGAAACATTATTGTTGTTGTTTTTTGTGCATGTTTCCCAGCTGATAACCTCATATGTATTCACTGGGCAGTTTATTTGGGTTCATGAAAAGAGAGAATGCTTTTTGATGCCTTGACTGCATAGTAATGTAATAATTACTATAATAACACAAATTATAATAGAAGAAAATGAATGAGAAAAAATAGACCTGTAACTAGGTCAACAAGAGCTGCAACAAGAGGAGACTGCGTTGTTCCATTAAGGAAGAGTTCATTCAGCCAATCTTCTTTTTCTTTTAAAGCTGCACAACAGTGGAACTCAATCCCAGTAACGATTAGAGAACAAAACACCTGCAGTTTTGAAATATTTAAATCTAACTTAAAAACATGGTTAGTGGAAAATCAGCTCTGTCAACACTGACACAATCTGCACTTTACAACGCTCTGTTTGTGTACATGTGCCTTGACCTGTTGCTATCTGTCTGCTTTGTGAATATGTATTTTTGTTTTGTTTTTATGTTTTTATGTTTATATATGCTTTTATCCTAATATTAGCATCTATGTTGAATGTTGTTTTACTGATTGTATTTACCTGTCATTTGAAGTTAATTTATTTTTAGGATGACTTTCAACATCTGTCCAGGGACTACAGATGAAAAATAGCCTGTTGTGCACTGTCCCTGTCAAATAAATAATAAATAAAAATAAAAATAAATAAATAGAAGAAGAAAAAATAAATAATAACAATAATAATAAAAGAAGAAGAAAAAGACAAAGAAAAAATTCATTAATAATATAAATTAATTATTAATATAGCAATTTAAAAAAGACACAATTACAAAGTTCTTTCACATAAAAAAAGAAAAACATATATAATATGAAACAAGATTAAATAATTGCAACAACACCATCAGTTAAGAAAAAGCTATAGGATAAAAGTTGATACAACTATCACTTGCATGTTTATGTTTGTGATTGTTTATTTACCTCTCCCCCTTCCTCACATTCCAGAGGGAGAAGAGCAGCGATGTGCTCGGTGGGAGCAGCGGTGGCTCTATCGTTGCCACCAGCACCGGCGGAGTTGTGACATCTGTTGGAATCCCTTCAGCCTCCAGCAGCTCCATGGCCTCCTCATTGACGCCTGGCTTAACTTCTGGAAGTCACGGGGGTCACGGGGGTCATGGGGGTCACTTGGGCGAAGAACCCAGCGATCTGGAGGAGCTGGAGCAGTTTGCCCGCACCTTCAAACAACGACGTATCAAGCTGGGATTCACCCAGGTAAAGAAACAGGGAGAAGAGGATGGTGGGCCAAGTGTGTGTCTGTGTGTGTGAGTCGCAGCTGACATTGTTTATCTGTTTCCATCAGGGAGACGTCGGTGTTGCTATGGGCAAACTGTACGGAAACGACTTCAGCCAGACCACCATCTCCCGATTCGAAGCCCTCAATCTGAGCTTTAAGAACATGTGCAAACTGAAACCGCTGCTCGAGAAGTGGCTGAATGATGCAGGTAAACATCCAGGTCCGTCATCGTGACAGTCAAGGACGCAGAGTTTGATCCCTGCAATCAGTCGTTTTAGTTTGTTTTGTTTGTGATACATTTATGTAGAATTGAATGTATTTAGTTGACAGAGAGTACTCAGCAATGCTGTATTTCAGCAGTTATATAAGTCTATACGTTTTATTGGGGGTTTTTTGTTGTCACTATATGAGTCATGTGCGAAAAACTGTATAGTTATTCATCTTAACGAACCTACCTCGTGTAGTTTGTTATTGGTCTTTGTGCATGTGAATGGTCTGTAAAGGCTAACATCCTAAATGTTCCATCCAGAGGGGGTTTTTCTCTCACACACTCCCCCCCTGCCTGAACCGCCTCCATTGGACTCCATAATGGCATCACTATGTCACACTAGCGCACCAACACATTGTACGTGATTGAGACTCTTCTAAGCAGTTGAACTGATACAACAGAGCCGTCCAGCTAACCAATCAGAACAGACTGGGCTCTGGTATCAGACAGAGGGTGAAAAGAGGTGCTGCATTTAAAACAAGTCCTTCTTGTCCTCCCTATGCGCTTTTTCCGTGCATGTCTTAACTATTTCTCTCCTCCCTGTATCCCTATGTGTATCCCTCTCCAACAGAAATCATGGCGGTGGACAGCATGCTGCCGAGCCCCTCCTCTCTCTCCTCCCCCATGCTGGGCATCGAGGGTCTGTCAGGCCGTCGCAGGAAGAAACGCACTAGCATCGAGACCAACGTGCGAGTGGCCTTAGAGCGCAACTTCTGCATGGTAGGAGACTGACTTATTAAGTATGAAGAAAACTCTATCTCGAAGTCTTCACAGGGAGGCACCGCAGATATGACCACCAAATGAAATCCTGGCATTTGTAGAGAAAGAAATCTCAATGCATATTGAATTTCTAAAAGGAATGGTGTTTATTGGAGTTCTCACCTGTACACAATTATGCCAGTCGTAGATTTAAGAACGGAGTCTCATTGTATGTAGCAAAGTACTAAGTAAAAGTGCATTTAGACGTTTGAAATAAAAACCTTTAAAAAAAACAATGATTTTTGTCATTTTGACACAAGAACATTATTAAAGATTAATCCTAAAAATAAAGATAACATTTAATGGACTGTTATCGGTTGTTATCAGTACCATCTGCTCTTTCCTGCACTTTGTGAAACCGTCCGAGTTTTAAACACATGTTTAGCGTTGTGAATTTAAAAAAAAGGACCTACTCGGTTAGGTTTAAGATAAGAACATGGTTTGTTACATACATAAGTAAGTAAATAACAAGTGTACTTACCTGGGGTGATATAAGTCAATATGTTGATTTATGGGGGGGTTTCACACGGGACATGAACAGTTGTCTCCTGGGAGAAATCCATGTGTTTATTGACCTATCTATCCACCCCCACCTCTTCCCTATGTGGACTTTTGAGCTCTTTATTTCACGCCACCTGACATCCTTTTCTGATCCTCTCAGAATGACTACAGCCACTATACTGATCCAGCCTACCATGAACACATATTACGCCCTACTAAAGCTAGGAGGTCCAGTGGGGCCACAGGACTTTATATCTAAGCTACCTATGACAACTAATGACGGCCATTAAATCAGAAGATAAGATGAGCCAGGTTGTCATAATAGACCCCGAGTTTTTGCATATACAGTAAGGGTTAGGTAGGTTTGGTTTCATTATCTTCTATTCTGTAAATGTGTTCAATGTTTTCCTCCCCAGAACAATAAGCCTAACTCGGAGGAGATCTTGCTCATGGCGGACCAGCTCAACATGGAGAAGGAAGTGATTCGTGTTTGGTTCTGCAACCGCAGGCAGAAAGAGAAGCGCATCAACCCCTCCAGCAGCACCACCCCTCCCCTGCCCTGCCAGACCTCGCCTGTTGTGTCACACAGAGCCCCCTGCTACAGCCCGCACATGGTACAGCCCACCATACATCCGCTAACTCTTTCTTTAATATTACACATCCTTATATTTGCTTCACACATGGATGGTATTTTTTCCTGACTTCTCTTTCTCTCTCTTCCTCTCCTCCAGATCTCGAGTCATGGTCTGTCCCAGGTCACCACCTGTCTCAGCACAACAGGTGAGCAGTAATTACTGTTTGTGTCTGTGTAGAGTCTCCTCAATTACATATTAAAGGTCTGCGCGGCGCTTCCCAATTGTGTTTTTGGAACCCTGAGGTCGGTCACGGGAAGATTAAACTGGTCCTGGCGTTATTTGGAAGAAGTTGATGAAACACCGAAGAATCATCACTTTAAAAAATCCTTTCAGCGAGAGGAAATGGAAAACAATGATGTTTTTGTTGACAACAACATGGACGTTCTGGTCCCATCTTGAGTTGTTTTCCTCCCTGAGTCATGATTTATAGAGCTGGGCTTACAGTGTGAGTGATCCCAGGCTTCACTGATATGACAGATGGCCTGGCAGGTAACAAACACAGTAGGAAATGTATTGGTCCGTTGAGCCACGGATAATACCATCCAAACTTCTCTCTCCAGTCTGCAGCTGAACGGAGTTAAATAAGACGCTGAAGAAGCTGTTGATGAAGATCTGTGTCACACAAGTGTTTATTTAGAAATAGCGCTGTAACTCATTCGCACTGCATGGCACCAACATCCCTCTTCTTCTTCTCTCCCCTCAGCCTCCAGCCCTTCGGCCTCCTGTCCCATGACTCCCGTCAGCTCGGCCGCAGCAGGCTCCACCTCTTCTTCTGTGACCTCCCCCCCTCATAGCACAGCTAGCCCCGCCCCTCCCAGCTTTGCCGGGGCCCTTGGGTTCAACACCGGGTGAGTGTTTATCTTGTGGTTATCGTTTAAAATGTAACATCGTTTAAGAAAATATTTTATCCAAAATTCAGAGAAATATGCATTTTCATGTCAGGACTAACAAAATTGATGGATGAAAGTAGAAACAAAAAGTAGATCAACATAAAATGTGTCCTTAAAGCAAATGCGAAATTATCAAACATGTCACAAACTAATAAATAATTTGGGTTTTTTAATTAGTATTATTGTAAAATTATTATTTTGGTGTTGCTGCCCCAACTTTGACACTTTATAAACACATATTTTGTCAAATCAATTAATTATTCAAATATAATATGAAGTTACAGCCCTAGATAAAAGAGAGAAACTTGTTTCATTTAAAATATATGGACTAATTCCTTTTTAAATATTTGTTGTTTAACTTGATCAACAAATGTTAATATTTTAGATGTCTTTCTACACATTATGGAGTGTTTGACACCACCGGCAATAACAAACATGTTGAACTTCACCTGAGACATGCTAAGCTGCATGTCGCAGAGAAATCTGAGGTGTTCTGCTGTTAAAGGTCAGACTGCTACAGCACCAGTTTGACTGCAAATCTGCATGATCACACACAAAGTGATATATGTACGGCATATACAGCAGGTAAGGCATTCAGAAACATGTGAGGAGCTGCTAGGGCCTCCATTACACTGTCAAAATGGCTGTGTCACAATTTAACCAGGATCTTGTGGCTTTTTGCTACTTTGGTCATATGCCATCTTCTGAGAGCCAAGGGTGACAGGAAGTTCAAGTTCCAGTTTATTTAAAATTGACTGGTGGAATAAGTTATTGCATATCAAATTCATTATATGGATTTGCTAAAATTGCCTTAGTGTGGTACATTTAAAAACAATGGTTGTGACATTCCTACATCAATTACAAGGCAAGAGTTTAAAACGTTTGCATAACTGATGAGTACATTGGAAGAACATCACTTAAAGAAGCCCTATTTCCCTTTCCTGTAGTGAGTTATATGGGTTTTTGTGAATGTAAATGGTCCGCAGAGGCTAAAATCTCCATGTTCCTTCCAGAGGGAGTTTCTCTCCCACACACTCCCTCGCCCTGTCTGAAATACATTGGATTACTTTGTTTACTTCTGCAACATAGTGACAGCACTATGTAACACTCGTGTTTCTATTGGCTAGCGCTCCAACACATTTTACGTGATAGGCTAAGGGGTGAGACATCTCTAAGCGGTTGACCAATCAACAGAGGCGGCCAGCTAACCAGAGCAGACTTGGCTCTGGTTTCAGACAGAGGGTGAAAAGAGGTGCTGCAACACAGGCAGTATGATACAAAATAAAGAGCTTTTTGAGCATTAAAGCATGGAGACATGTCCCAGTAGAGACACAAAACAAAAATATGAACCTGAAAAATGGGCATAATAGAGCCCCTTTAACCTGTCAAATGCTTTTCTAAGTGTGAATTTCCCTATGTGAACTTGCGGTCGATCCACGTTTCAGGAACACAATGATGGGACTAAGCACAGGGATGACCCAGGCCCTCATTGGCAGCAATTCCCTGGCTACCATGCAAGGTGTGTGTGCATGTAAGTGTGTCGGTGCATGCAGCCCGTCCCCTCCAGCCTAGCGAGTCTTCATGAGTCTCCATTTTCTAAAGACCACTTCCCATTTCACCCTTCATCCATTCTGTCCAAAATGAATTTCCTTGTAGCCTCACAGGACAGTAGCCGACAGCTAACGCGGCTCAGTCCTCCTCCTCCTCCTCCTCCTCCTCCTCCTCAGCACAAACTTTGTGAATTGCTCAGTATGATGAAAGATTCAATTTGATTCTCATACAATAGCCTGCTATTATCACAGAGTGACAAGAGCCCCTTATGGCAAAGCTTAGGAGGCCAAGTCAGCTTACAGTAAACAGTTGAACAGGCACAATCCCCTCCCTCTCAATATCCAGGCCTGGTGGCTAAATAGCCAGTTTCCACTCAGAAATCTCCTTTTTGAAATCAATTAAGCATCACAAATAAGGTTTGTTGAGCTCCGCTTTCAATCCTTCCTGTGATCCATCTGCCTATAGCGCCGATTCAGAGCTTCTCGCTGTGTTCGCCGCCATTCAGAGGCGGCCCCCTCCAGGCCATGTGTTGATGAGAAGGATACAGTCTGTTATGGAAACTGCAGCTCTGGCTCTCACACAGCTATAGGCTGAGGGAGGGGGGAGAAAGAGAAGCCTTGATGAAAAGAGGGGGTTGAAATGTAGTGTTGACGTGAAAAGGATTTGCGGTTTGAACCCCTCAGGGGCCACATACACGCTATGAATGTTTACACTCATGGTGCTGCAATGGATTGTAGTGTTGACGTTTACACTGGAATTCAAAAGTTGGCATGTATCACTCACTGATATACAGTTTATTCTGCAGAGAGATAACATATTATTTTCAGTTATGGGGTCTCATTGCAATATAGTATAATGATGCCTGGAACATTTAAATATAATATCTAAAGTAAACCAACAGTGCACCTCCTACAGTTGATTTCATCTTTTTAAAACCTGTCCTGTGCATATAGTCAAAAGTACATTCTCACTCTTTAATAAGCATTCAACTCAGTTCTCATCATTCCTTTCACCATGTGTAGTGAATAGCTATCTCCATCTTCATCCTGTCTGTCACTAACACTCAGTGTCGTTGCATTATATGGTTGAGTATTTATTCATCCCCTGAAAATGTCAGTAGAAATATGTTCATCTCAGACTTACCATAACATGTAGAATTGAAAATATGTTAGGTTTAATGTCCCTTCATTCACAGAATACATTGCTGTTTTGAAAGGAACTATGGAAATGATTCTGGTGTTTGTTTGAAAATAGTTTCATTGTGAATTGGGTGAACCGACAGGACGACTAATAACAATATTTTGTATTCTATGAAGGAGACGATGTATTGGAAACTCTTTCCTAGTTTCTGTGTTTGTAGTCATTGTGCAGTTTCCCCCTGTTACTGATGCGTCTACTTCCTCTCTTCAAATCTTCACTCCTTTTTGTCCTCTTCTTCAATTCTCCCTTTGGTCATCTTCCTCTTCACCTCTCCTTCTTTCCACGGCCTTTCTGACTTCTCTTTATCATGTGTTGCCTTGTTTGTCTTTTTCTGTTTCTGTTTCTATCGCTCTGCTCTCTTTCTATCTTTTTGTCTTTCATCTTTCTCCTCCTCTCTTGTATCTCTCGTTCCATCTTCCTGCTCTTCCTCCCTCCCTGTCCTCGCTCTTCTTCCTCACAGCCCTAGTGTCGAGCAGTGGTCAGCTGCCCATCACCAGTCTGGATGGGGGGGCAGCCCACATGCTCCTGGGTGGGCCTGGGGGTACGGGCATCCCTCCATCCTTTCGCTCCTCACTCTTCCTCAATCATCCAGCCCTCCTCCCCATGGTGACGGGCTCCATGGCGACAGCCTCCACGACTGCCATGTCCCTGGCCAGCAGCAGCAGCGGGGGTGGTGGCCCGAGACTCCCCTTCCCCCAGTCCCCCCCCCCAGGCACCAGCAGCCTCATGAGCCCCACCACGTGCCACGAGGAGTCCGCTTCTCCGTGTTCAAGTCCCGCCTCTTTCTGTTCCTTCAGCGAAGCCTCACCTCCGCCCCTGGGAGGGGCCATGGCCGAGTGATCTCTGACTGACAGCCAAAGCATCCTATCAGAGGAGGACGAGGAGGAGGAAGAGTTTAAGGAGCTTTAAGAAATCTAAATTTACAACCTCGCCTTTCAACCAAAGCCATCTCTCTGTCTGATCCATCTCCGCTTTCGTCTCTCTCTTTCTCCCCGCTGAAGTCTTCTGAAGCCAAAAATATACACGGACGGATGATGGGAGGAAGCAAAGAGAGAGGGATGATGGAGGGGTTAGAGAGACCTGCAGAACAGAGGGGGGGGATTTGAAACCAAATAATGATCTACAGCTGGAGAGGCGGCACTGAGGAGTGTTTTTGCTCGGCATCGGGGAAACGGAACAGCATGCTTTTTATCGGCTGGAGAAAAAATTAAACTCGATGAGGGCAGGGATGAGAAGCGAAACTGTGTGTGAGAAATGGGAGGCAAAGAGAAAAGACTTGTTTAACAAGCTCGGAAAGGTCATGTGGTTGCAACCAAATTTAAAAAGAAAATGATGCTAGAGGGAAACACACTTACTTACAAAGATGAACAACCAAAATCTCCAAATACCAAAAACTGTAAACCAAAAATGACAAAAACCTACAAACGGAGAGAAAAGCTTTAGTTCAGAAAGACTTTCTGATCTGTCCAGGTTCAGTTCATACTCCATACAAACATTTCCCATTTCACTCAGGATTCCTTTATCCATTTCTTTTCTATTATGTTTTTATTTATCACTTTTTGAATGCTATTTCTTGCCAAATATGTGTGTTAAATGTTTTACAGCTGATCCCAGATGCAGGATGTCTGACTACCTCTTTACAGCTTTCCAGTGATGAACACAGCTTACATCAGAGTGTTTGTTTTAACCAGCCTGTCGTGACAGACGGGTGGGGTTTACTATGTAGCAAAACCCACCCTTCTGGTACGTGAATAGGATAAAACAGACATGCGTTTACGTTAAAAATCCCATTTGACTGAGTTAAAAATGACTTTTTTTGGTTGTTGAGCTGTTTAAAAGATTCAGATTATTTAGAGGGATTATTTAAAACCTATTTTTCTTTTTAATCACCATTATCATCATCACCAATGGTCTCATTAATATTGTTCTTGTTCAAACCGAGGTATACACACTGCACAGTGCTCATACTGCCTTCAAAGATGATACCACCGGCAGATGTAGACAGTCTTGGGATTTTATTCAGCATTATTTGTCGTCTTTTATTTATTATCACCCCATACCATCGCCATGTCATCTTCCAGACTGCTCATCTACCACCAGACAGTCACTCTTGGATACCAAAGCATCGCCTCTGGCAGCGTAGTCTCTTGATTCGCCCGGGAGACGAGTGTCCAGACAAAACCTCAGCCTTGTCAAAGGGAAAACACACACACACACACACACACTACAAGCATAAGAAGGAGTTCAAACCAAAAAAAAAAAGAACAAAAGAAAAAGGTGAAGCACCGGCTTTCCCCTAACTGCCCCCAAACCCCTGCCCTCCATCCCTCCCTCCCATCTGCCCCTCTCCTTTGTCTCCAAAGATCAGATCAAAAGGCCAAAAGAAGAGAGGAGAAGAAGAAGAGGAGGAGAAGCGGTCAGGAGCGAAGGAGCCAAAGGTAAAAAAGCTGCAGGGGGAAAGAAGAAGAAGGAAGAGGAGCAGGAGGAGGAGCAGGAGGAGGTGCGCTCGAAGCGGCGGACCACAAAACCAAAAAGTAACCCAAAACCAAAAGCTACTACTACTGCTACTTATGATGTATGAGTGACTGAACCGTAACTAAACCAAATACAAACAAAGAGAGGGAGGACGAGGGGAGAAAAGGGGGGAGAAAGGCCCTGTCTGTCTGTTTGTCTTCGCTGTGATTGCTGTTCTTGTCTCGGCAGACAGAAATCCTTCCCTCCCTCCCTCTGCCAGCGACCTCGGCTTTGTTCTCACTTTCCTTTTTTCCTGGATGGATAAAAATATGGAATAACCTCAAAAAACTGACTTTGAGAATATATATATTTTTGTTTTTGCTTACCATAGTGTGTCTGTTACTGATGTATGAATTTGTCTCATTGCTTTCTACTTATTATGCGGCGGGAGGGAAGGGGGGAGGGGCGGGTTTTGGCGACGTGTTGCCTACTTTCATATCTTCTTGTCTTTTCGGTTGTGCTCTGGATTTTTTTTTATTTGTTGGAAAGAACTGTGAACATGTAGCTTCCAAGTCGTTTTTTTAAAGTTGATCCAGAATGTTGTGAAAAAGCCAAAACTGAAAACCAAAAGCAAATCTTTTTAGACATACAACCAAACCAAATAGAACAACCAAACCAATGCACAAGGTGTACGAGAGGTGTGTGAATGTTTGTGTGTGTACGTGTGTGTGCTTGTGTGAGCATGTGTCGGTATAAGATAATTAAACTGTAAAACACAACAATACCCTCTTCTGTCACATGCAGGACAAAATAACATCCCTGAATGCTTATTTTGGACGGTTAAAGCAAAGCTGGTTTTCAACCTGGACCCGTTTTCATACAGTTTTCACTTCAAACTTTGTTTCTCTGCAGGCTTTAAAAGCAGAAAATGTACAATAGAAACTCCAAAAGTGAAACCCATCGGACTCCAATTAAAGTTGAGTTTATTTATGATCAGATAACCTTGAATATTTATTTAAGCAGTGGGCTTAAGCAGTGGGCTTCTGAAGCTTGACTGCCTCTGTCATTCATATCTTTTAACAGATACAGATGTTAAAAGTTTAAACATGTTGAAAAAACACTTTTAGCCACATATAGCTGAGTTTTAGAGAGTGAAAAAGAAAGTCCAAAGACTTCACTGTTGGTTTGAAATAACATACATTTATTATCAAACTGCAAACCATATTGTAAGCAATTGTACACGACATTTTGTATTCTTGTTCATTTCAGAATGATTGAAAATCACATCACGTCCTTTGTTTCTCCCCAAAGTTATTGTAGGAATATGGGTTACATGTTCACAAGTTATGTGACCCCTAAAACAAACTTAGAATCTTGCAGCACTTCGTGATCTTCATTCAGATCTAAAATCGCACATTTTCCTTGAATGCATCACCATAGTGAGAACAGGCGTTTTCATGTATTGAAATGCTGAAGCAAACCAGTAGTCAAATGTCTAAAAACTAGTTTTATACTTTAATAAATTATGACTAATAAAGTATGTTTAAAATGTAAGTTAATGGGCAAAAACATGTTCCGTTAAATACCTCTACAGTGAAGCACTTCATGTTACTTGGTCAATTTGATGGAAGGAAAACTCGAGGCCCAGGTTGAAAACAGACTTAAGTTTTGAATGTCAAACACACAGGGAATTGAAAGCAACCAATGACAAAGATGATATGGGGAGGGGAGTGGGGGGGGGCACTGACGTCTGAGACGGATTAAAGGCTGAGGCCGTCCACTTTTAGAGGGAATGTATCCATTAGTTCTTCTAGGTTTTTGTAGGGGGAAATAATCTATGTTCAACTGCTCTTACTTGTTGCTGATGTATAAAAAGGCTGGGATTATTATCCTTTGATGATGACGACCGAAGACGATGACTTGACCAAAAGCTTTAAAACTTTATCTCTCACGGGCTCTTTGTTGAAAAAAATATTTGTATTTATTGTATGAGGGAGGTGTGTGCTTTTTTCGGGGGATGGGAGAAGTGGTCCGTTTGTATTTTATTAACTTCCTTGTCTCTCACCTTTATTTATTGACTCTTTATTTATGTATTTATTGGATTCTATTTATGTCTTTCTGGATCTTTGTAATAGTTTTTCAGGGGTTGTTGTGAGGCTTGTATCTGCAGAGAGGGGTGTTCTTGAGATCAAGACAAGAAGAGAAGATGCCAAACGAATGTTTCAAAGCAAAACCAAACCTAAAGACTGTTGTCTTGTAACCTGAGACGGAGAAAGAAAGTAGCCGGGAAACTGTGACGGAGGAAAGCTATGTTTTTTAATTAGCTTAGTTCACTGTTCCATCAACCCAGAGTGTGTTACGGTTTTCTAACTTAGAGTCGGTGATGTTTACTTCCCTATTTCTTTTTTTCAAAGCTTTTGAAACCTTGTGTTTCTCATTTTGGATCAGACGTGGTTACATGGTTCTGTGTTGCACTAGCTATTTCCTAATTCCAACTAACCTTTTGGTTCATGTTTACAAATTGAAGATTTACACATAAGTACATTTAATTTGACTAGATCACACAAAGTTAATCTTAGGTAGAGACTAATGTTACTAAATATTTACACCCAGTAAATGTCGGGTGTAGGCGTTGCATTGCTAACGAAACTAACCGAGCAAAGCTAACGCTATCTTGCTAACATGTGACCTGTTAAGATGTAATAGTAAAAGAGCTAATGGTTGACATGAACATAGATTAAAATAGGATTTAAAATAATGTAACCTTAGAAGTTTTACATTTTAGTTCACAAAAATACCAATATAGCTACTACTTACCACAAAACACTTTGCTAATAACAACTAGCTAAATAGCGTTGTTTAGGTTAGCATAATAGAAAATGAATACTACAAACTATTTCTTCAAGTATAATGAAATAAATAGACACCAGGTTGGGGGTTAGTATTATATAAAGATAGAGCCCTCAAAGCTTGTCATTTTGTCGGCTCTGTCACAGCTTGTGATGCTAACGGAGACTTCCTGATGAGATGATGATTCACATGTTTCCTCAGTCTTTATTTCCACAGTCTTCCCCACAAAGATTTTTTTTTTACACTTGTTAGTGCAGCCTTATTTAGTAGAATGATTTTCCTAAAACAAGTTAGTTGTTGCTAAGAACTTTGTATGGAAGCCCATTTCAGCAAAAGTGATGACAAATAAAAGTTTCTTGAGAAATGTTCTCAAAATTACGAGTCTCTTCAAAAGTAGATTCAATATTTGGAGAAAGTTTCTATTTGATTGAGGGTCTGCTTTCCATCGTAGGGCTTTTATTTATTTTACGGGCAGCAATGGGCTTCCATAGCTTCCAACACAAACTTTATGATGGTTTTAACAAATAGCTTGTGCA